ATTTCAATATTATAAGTTAATCCGACCTTTCTCAATTAGCTAATTCATTTTAGGACAATTTGTGAGACGTTGATAATCCTTAACTGGGGTCCCCCTGTGACCCTGGTTATTAATTTAACTGTTTTTATTTTCAAATATTTCAATATTATAAGTTAATCCGACCTTTTTCAATTAGCTAATTCATTTTAGGACAATTTGTGAGACATTGATAATCCTTAACTGGGGTCCCCCGGTGGGTTAGTGGTAAGTTTACTGACTTACAAAGCTAAAATCCAGGGTTAGATTCTTCGCGGTGGACAAAACAGATAGCCTAATGTGGCTTTGTTCTAAAACAACCTTAGTTGTGGATATATATTTTATACTTAAAAACAGAAGGAAAAATAGCATTGAAATTTGATCTGAATATATTCTTGGGAAATAACCATATTGGAGTGAGGAATATTTAATATAATTAAATATCCACTCAGAATTTGAAATTTATTTTAAGAGCTTAAATAATTCTTTATTTATATAATCTAGCCGTAGAGTGTAATTTATAGTAACGTTTTAAACCTAATTCTCTTAATAACAAAACAAACAAACGAAGTGCCTAGAAATTTCCTTTATACGTAAAGAAGTGCAACCGTTTCTATTGTCTAAGTGTAGCCTAGTTGAATAAGAGTTTAAAATTTCCTTCTGGGTCTTTAGGTCTTTATTCTGGTAGACGTAGAAGGAAGGAAAGAGCATAACTAACCCTAAAAGTCCACATTGCTTTTTGCTCTAATAGATTTTAAATAAAATAACTAAACCCTTTGTGGCGGATGATGGGGTTAGTCTTCAATAAATTTAACTTAGTGGTACGCGCTACTATGCAACAGAAGTAAAAGACGGATATTTTATATTTTAATCTACAATACAGCCACATCTCCTCTGTTGGATTCAGAGAGAGAGAGAGAGCATGCGCGTGTTAATTTGTTTTGATAAGTCAACATTTGTAGACTGGGTTCCCTATTTAGAAGCCCCCCCTCCCCGTGGCACAGTGGTATACTGCTAGAAACCGGGTTTCTATACCCGTGTTGAGCAGAGCACAGATAGCCCTTCGTGCAGCTTTGCGCTTAATAACAAATAAACAACCCTATTTAGAAGTAAATGAAATCAAAATGTATTTCTTGGAAAACGAAACCGAAACGCCGTTGGTGAATTCCTAAAGGTAACTGATTTAATTAAATTATAAATGCTGAGGTTAATGTTATTTTGTTCTAGACAATGGTCAACAAAAGGATGTTGGCTAAGGAAAACCAACACCACCCATACAGTGTGCTCTTGTAACCATCTGACTAACTTCGCTCTAGTGATGGAGGTAACCGTTAATCAGGTGAGATAAAACATAGTTTACTTTTTTTTCATAAACGTGTGCGAGTTAGTGCGAAAATATTCAAGTGATAAGTAACCATTTCAATTAGCCTCTTGTAAATGTGTGACCCTGTACAAATAAGGATCAAAAACTATTTCAATTTTTGCCTAACAAATGACAAAATAACACATGACTAACAGATGCTTTTTTTTTCAAATTCATATAAATTAGTTCTTTACGGATTTCTAACCAGACGTGTGTAAAAATATCACTTCAAATTCATCATTGGTTTGTCACAAATCACTGCTTGGTAGCCTTTTTACCCAGTACTAGTCTTATTTAACGAAATGCCATTTACCACAGCAAAAAAAACAAAACAAAAAAAAGACAATCCGAGATACTTTTTTTTTTGTATGAAATAGACGATATTCAGTACATTTGTGTAAAGTCAACGATGTATTATGGTTTCTTGGGCTTAATATAAGTGATACAATTACGTTTGACTGCAGATGTTTTTTCATGTTACTTTTAATTAGTTCTGTACGGATTTCTAGTCAGAGGTGTGTAAAAATGCTATTTCAGATCCAGCTATCCTTACTTCTGTCTGACATAAATCACTGCCCAAGCGGCCTTTCGTTTAATGCTAAAATTCAGCAGTTAGGCATCGCGTTGAATGTCATATACTACAAACGAATAATATTTCAGATACACTTTTAGTTGCGTAATGTTAACCTGTCTAATGAATTCTCCCAGGAAGTGATTTGTAGCAGACAGAAAAATCGATATGGAATATTGTTTTTACACATCTTTGATTTAGAAAGCCAAAAAACAACAACAACTACGCTGTAGTATTATCCTATCATTTTCGTTAGGCGTAAAAAGAGCCTTAATACTTCGCGATCTTAGGTGTTTCTTCCACAGTATTGCAATTAATTAGTAATATTAAATAGACGAAATGTCGTATTTCACTTTTCCTTTTAATTTAATAACATGTGGTAAGCCTTAAAGTTGATTTAGATATATATAACAACTTTGAAAACAAAAACAACAACAACAAAAAACGTAAGATTAAATTCAGGTACAAACAACAACAACTTTTTTTTTTTTTACTTAGGCTAAACGAACGGAAAATGTTGCAGTTCGAATCATCTTTACTGTCGGCTGTGCCTTGGCGTTGTTCTTTTTGTTAGTCACCTTTGTTATTCTCCAGTTTGTAAGGTGAGTTCTTTAAGAATTTCAGAGAACGAAATACATTCGTCTTAATCTATCTAGTGAGCTTCTTGTTGGGCCCGGCATGGCCAGGTGGTTAGGGCGCTCGACTCGCAATCTACGGGTCGTGGGTTCGAATCCCCGTCCCACCAAACATGCCGTGGGGGCGTTATAATGTGACGGTCAATCCCACTATTCGTTGGCAAAAGAGCAGACCAGGAGTTGGCGGTGGGTGGTGATGACTAGTTGCCTTCCCTTTAGTCTTACACTGCTAAATTAGGGACGACTAGCGCAGATAGCCCTCGTGCGAAATTCACAAAAAAACAAACAGACAAGTTTCTTGTCATTTAAGGATATATTTATTGAATTTCATTTTTTATAATTTTTTTGGATTATTCCTGAAAGAAGCTATCGATGTTGTGGATTCGACAGTTTTTCAATTATATAACGCCTGCAATTTTGTGAGTAAACTGTGGAATTAAACTCATATAACACGTGTTGTCACACAGGATTATCGTTATATATAAATGTTATTATTATTCAGGCAATTTTTAGAACCCGTCAATTTTTCATTAGAGCACTTTCGTCTAAGGAAAAAGGAAATGTATTTTTGAACAGTGCAATAAATACTTAAACATATATTGTATATTTTCAGAATGAGATTTATGTACAAACTTCCATGTTTCTTGTTCAGGAATTTGCAAGGAGTTCGCAGCACAATCCATAAAAATATCTCTTTGTGTCTGTTTCTGGCTGAAGCTGTCTTTATCGGTGGTATAGACCAGATCAACAACCGAATTCTGTGCGGAGTAGTAGCAGGACTTCTCCATTACTTCCTTCTTGTCGTCTTTGTCTGGATGTTTCTGGAATCATTTCAACTGTTTCTGATGGTAATGAAAACGTTTAAGGCTGAGAAGTCTCGTTGGAAGTGGTACTGTTTTCTTGGCTATGGCTTTCCTGTTGTCGTTGTCGGAGTCTCTGCTATCGTTGATCCTTACAGTTACGGAACAATGTCATTCTGCTGGCTGAAGATGAAGAATTATTACGTGTTTAGCTTCGTAGGACCAGCTCTAGCTTTCGTGGTGGTGAGTCCTCGACTAAATGTGCTTCGTTCTGCTTGAGAGGTTTCTACGTCTTCCTTTGTTTTCTGTACTTAATGTTTGTTCCTTGAACACTAATTAGAAAAATTGTAACATTTTGGATCAAGGATAAAAACTTAGTGAGTAGACTCCAGCCTTGATAACTTAATCAATAATATATTTTTAATTACTATAGTTCAGAGATATGTAATAACAAAGAACAAAGTAAATGTACTGTAGACAGTAATGACAAAATAGTGTTGTCGAAAAACAGCCTTAACCTATTATATTTGTGTATAAATATGTTTTTAAATATAGAATCCAATATAAAGGAATTTAGGATTAACATTTAATGCTTGTTTACTGTTTATATCGTTACTTTTTTTTTACAGGTCTGTGTTTTTTTCTTGGTTCTAATTCTGTGCCAAGTGTGTTACAAAGTACAAAATGCCCATACAATAAAGAATAAAGAACCAACCAAAGCATCAAACGTAAGGTAAGATCTTAACATTTTGCTCTCCCTATTTCTAATAGTTTTCAGTGTTCTGACTTCTTCTTAGTAATTTAATTTGTCATCTCTCGTGAAGTGCACTATTACGTCCAAAAAAGAACTTCAAAATTCGCCTTTCCTTGGTGCTTTATTTTATTTGTTCGTTTGCTCCTTCTGGATTGAGCTGCTTTTAGAAAAGTAATTTTGTAATTTGGCATGTCTTGTATACGCCATAACCATGTCATGTGCCATTTTATAACATCTGAAACACATTCTTATTAATGTATTAAAAGTACTCACTGTAGGCATACTTGTATCCGAAAATAATTAAGTGAAACATAAATCACGAATATTGTTTTGCTATATTTGAATAAATTAAACTGTATAATATACTTACCTTTAAAACTACACTTGCGGTTATATTAATGTGTAATTACATGAAATATCTTCATATAACCAAATTATATTTTGTTTTAAAACATGAAATATGAAACGCTAAGTTTATTAACATAATTTTGTTTTGTAAGATTAGGCAATTATCGTTTAGTTTATTGGCCAGTTCGTTAACGTGCCGGTTTGTGAATCTGAGAGTCCATGGTTCGCGTATCGTTGCATCAAAATAACTATTTTTCCTCTATTCTATCAGTTGATAATTAGGGAAGGCTACCGCCGAAAACCTTTGTGTAGCTTTCACGAATAACGGAAACAAATTGTCTCGAATTTTCCGTATATTAATCTAAAAACACATTAGTTTTAATGAGAAAAATTTTAGTAGACAACTCTCACGTGTTTTTCATAGATATATCTGGAACCATGGCCAGGTGGTTAGGGCGCTCGACTCGCAATCTGACGGTCGCGGGTTAGAAACCCCGTCCCACCAAACATGCTCGCCCTTTCAGCCGTGGGAGCGTTATAAAGTGACGGTCAATCCCAC